AAAAGAAGAAAAGTAAACAAAAGAAAACTCCTCAGAAACATCACAGCCAAAATTCAGAGCTTCCGGGTTAAAGAAAAACATGCTGCAAGCAGCCAGAAAGAAAGTATTCAAGTACTGTGGACCCATAAGTAGGATCACATATAATTTAGTAGCAACAACCATAAAGGAGCAGAGAGCTTAGAACACAATATTACAGAAGGCAAAGGATACAGGCTTACAACCAAGAGTAACTTACAAAGCAAAACTGAGTATACTCCTACAGGGGAATAAATGGTTTGTAGATAGATATAGAGCTACAGCTAAAGATATATGTGTGGGGGGTGGGAGTGGGGGGGTACATACCCACACACATGCATCCTTTAATCAAACAGAGACCTTCTAAACATTCCTTATAAAAAAATCAGAGCTGTGTAGAAACTCTGAAGTGCAAACACAGAAGTCAAGAGAAACATTAAAAAGTATAACATGGAAATAACCATAAGAAACTAAACAAGAATAAACTGCTTATATTCAGATACGGGGAGGGGATGTATGTGTCCTCACAATCACCAGGGATCATGGAAGGAGTCTAATTAGAAAAAAAAGCATGGAAGTAGTTCTGTTATGCCTTAATAATATAAAGAGAAGGGGCAGGTAGGTGGTACAGTAGACAGAGCTCTGGCCTTGGAGTCAGGAGGACCCAAGTTCAAATCCAACCTCAGACACTTGACATTTACTAGTTGAGTGACCCTGGGCAAGTCACTTAACTCCAACTGTCTCACCAAAAAATAATAATAATAATATAAAGAGAAGAATGGAAAGAGAGAAGAAGAAGAATAGACTGGGGAAAAGTCAAGTAAAAAAATCATCTCACATAATCAGGGCGTGCAAGTGGGTATTTTTTACAATTTGACACTAAAATCTCAATCTCAATACAAAACACATAGAGCTGGGTACAGAAACACATTTCATTCAACAGAGAAATAAGACAGAGAAGAAATGAGAAGGGAGAATTAGAAGGAAGGTGGATTAAGGGAGGGATCAGTCCTAAGCAAAACAAATTTTAAGGACGTATAAAAATACTTATAGCTCTTTTTGAGGCAACAAAGAACGGAAATGTGAGGAGGTATCCATCAATTGGGGAATGACTGAACAAGTTATAGTATATAAATTTCATGGAATGCTATTATACTGTAAGAAATAATAAAGGCGATGGTTTCAAAGAAACCTTGGAAAACTTACATGAACTAATGAAAAGTGAACGGAACAAGGAAAATAATTTACATAACACTATAGTGAAGAAAAACTATGAAAAATTGAGTAACTCCAATCTACACATAACTAATCACAATTCCAGAGGACTAATAATGAAACACACTACTCACCTCCTGATAGAGAGATGAAGGAGTCAGTGGTGCAGAATGAGAAATTTTTTTTGATATGACAAATGTGGAAATATGTTTTGCTTGATATTATGCACACACATATACACATATATGTATGCCTATGTACACACATGTACATATGTTTGTAACAAGTGTTCTATTTTTCTTTAGTTCTCAATTGGGAAGGGGATTGGGGTAGAAAGGAGAGAAGGCAGATTTTTGTGATTAAAAAAATAAAATACAACATTTTTAAAAGAGCTGAAGGAAGGTCTACGACATACAAGATGAGAGGCTACGGATGAGTTATGAGCTGTACAGGTGTTTCTCTATACCTGTAAGATCATAAATTCACAAGCATGCTTCCCACCTCTTTGAAGAAATGTGCTGAAGTATAAATGAGTATGAAGAGTATAAATTAGACATCTGAATTCAGATACTGATAATGTGTTCATTTACTTTGTGAGACTACTTACTATTAAGGGAAGGTTAAGGGGAGGGGAGGTCATAGGGAGAGGGCAGACAGTGATACCAAAAAAAAAAAAAAAAGTATCCATGAAATGTTAATACGGAGAAGATTGCAGAAGACAAGAGTCCACGTGGTTTATGGGATAGGGCCGTTGGACTTGGAGTCAGGAAGATCTGGGTTCAAATATTGCCCCAGCAATTACTAGCTATATGACCCTCTTATCCTCTACATGCTTCAGTTTCTTCATCTGTAAAAAATGAGGTTGTACTTTATGCCACTAAGCTCCCTTACAATCCTAAATCTATGATCCTATTATCCTAGCACAAAAGGAGACACAAACAAGCAGGGTAGTGTTATTATTATCAAATTTAAATGTGTGTATATGCATACTTATAATACATATATTTGAGCTGCATGTAATAGAAGTTTAGTTCCTTATACAATCCTCTCTTTTTTGTTGTTTTTATGTTGAAATGTTCACGTTTGTTATGTTCATAATGAAAAAAGAAGAGTTTAAAAATATCTTTTCTGGGGGCAGCTAGGTGGCGCAGTGGATAAAGCTCCAGCCTTGGAATCAGGAGGACCCAAGTTCAAATTCGGTCAAATTCGGACTCAGATACATGACATTTACTAGCTGTGTGACCCTGGGCAAGTTACTTAACCCTGATTGCCTCATCAAAAAAAAACAAACAAACAAACAAAAAACTTTTTCTGCACTGCCAAAAGAAAATGAATTAGTAACTGGTAAATTAAAAATTATGCATGTATTAAGATTCATAAGTTTTCTAACTTGCTAAAAATAGCATACTAGGTACCATAAAGAAATTAAGCTAAATGAGATCCATGGAAATATAATTCCAATCTAAATATGGATTAACAGATGATGTATAACTGCAAAAAAGAATACAAAAAATTTTTTTTAAAATAAAAGTTTATGCTTCCTTCACAGAATGACAAGGGGAGAACTGGAATCAAATGCCAAAATGGAACAGAAAAATAGATGGTTATCATTACAAAAAAAAGGAAATTATTACTACCAAAATGATCTAAACACATATCAAGGGTGTGTAGTATACTTGCAAATCCTTGGTGAAAACAAAAAGAAAAAGGCTGACTTGTGCGAATAATTTTCTAAAGTAGAGCAGTCACACAATTGCATAAAATATGTAAAAAATATAAAACCCCACTGTTTTTACTGAACCCACAAAAAAAGCATTTGACCCAAGAAGCAAATGTTAACATCATACAAGATTCCGTGATAGATAAAATTAGATGATTTTAATAATCCTCTGATTTTCTATATCACCTGAGGATAGGGAGGACAGGGAGACATATCTTCACAAAGTGTTCATCACTGTTATGGACAATGCCCTAGGAAGAGTCTAGAACAGAGTTTCTACAGATGGTTGGGTGCTCTTGTTTGGAGAGATGTTGTGCTGGTTGCATTAAGCCCCAGTTACTACTGTGCCTCTTCAAGGAGATCTACTGACGTTCAAGAGACTAGCAAGGCAATCCACAGAGGGAAAACCAAAGGATGAATCCCTATTATCCAGACTATGACATGCAGGTAAAGGGGAAATCTATTCAGTCTATCAGTGCATATCTGCTACCTCTAACTCTCAGCTAACTAGAACAAATAATCAGAATTGGTCCAGAATTGAATGGGAAGAAGAGACAAGTTGAACTGTACTTGAGAAACTACACTGGATTCCCAATGATTCCCAAGCTGCCCCTGACACAAAAACCCATCTCATTAACATTAATCAAGCATTTAAGTGCCTACTTTGTACAAGGCTTGAAATGCTAAGTGCTGGAGATACAAAGACACAAAACAGTCTCTGCCTTCAAGGAGCATGTACTCTTATGGAAGAGAACCACATGTATAGATATAAGCATAAACAAAATAAATATAAGGTCAGGGTGGGGTGTTATATCAGTAAAGGCCTAGTGTAGGAACTTGAACTGAATTCTGAAGGAAACAGAATTCTAAGACGTGGAGATGAAGAAGCAGTACACTCCAGGCATAGAACAGAACTGGTAAAAAGAGCTGTGTGTAAGGGAAAGCAAGTAGGTCAGTCTGGTGGCACCAGAGGGCATGAAGAAAAGTAATATATAGTATTAGGCCTAGAAAGGCACCCTCTATGACACTAGTTCTCAGCCTTTTCTTGTGTCCCTTCAGTAGTCTAGTGGAAACTACCAACTCCTTCTTGGAAAGTATTTAAATGAATAAAATGCCTAGGACTGCAAAGAAAACCAATTATATTAAAATATAGTCAACAAAATATTTTTTAAAAACAAATGCATGGACTTTGGATTATTAAAATAACTCCTGCTCTATGATATAAAAATAGTGCTTCTATAAAGAAAAGACAAAAGTAACCAGTATTGTAGAGACTGTGTGGGAAGACAGACTACCAACATCCTGTTGGTAGAGCCACGAATTAGTTCAAAATGTTCAGAAAAAAATTTGGAATATGCCAAAAAAAAAAAATCACCAAATCATTCATTCCCTTTGATCTAGACACTACTGTTCATGTACCCCAAGGAGATTAAAAATGGAAAGATTCTGTTACATACCAAAACATTCCTGACAATCCTTTATGGCATTAAGGGAAAACGATATGTCGTGCCCATTACTTGGGGAACAGCTGAACAAAATTGGAGCATATGAATGCAGAGGAATATTAACGTGCCCTTAAAAAAAAAACTAATTCAGAGAAAGATAAGAAGACTTGTATGCACTCACACAGAACAAAGAAAACAGAACCAGAACAGTACGGAGAATGCCTACTAAGATGTAAAGGACTCTGATGAATTGCATCAAGACGCGGTCCCAGAGGCCAGACGGTAACTTAAAATGCCCAAAGCAACAAAGGAAACACCAACAATTGCCGGAAAATCGGTTCCCGCTTCACCCTCAGTTGAGTCTCATCTTCAAAGACCATCTGCTGCTGAGATGAAGAAGCTCGTGCGGGGTCGCCCAGAGAAGCGGAGACACCCGACGGGGTCCGAGCGGCCGCCCTCCCGTACCCTCAAAAGAGAGGCTTGTGCGGCCGCTGGGACGAGAGGTTAGGGGGCACTAGCCCCCCGAGGAAGGGCCAGGGGAAGGGGAGCCTCGGCGGCGACCCCGCCCCCTGGCCCAGTCAGGATTCCCGGATCTGGGAAATTACCTGTTGTAAATATTGGTTGATGGTGATGTGCGCCATGAAGGGGACAGCTCGAGGGACACGGGAAAGGTTTCTCGGCCCGAATGAGGAAGGGGAGTGGGCGAGGAACTGAGATCAGCGGGAGCAACGGCTACGGCCCAAACCGCCGGTTTGTAGCACGAACTTACTTCCAAGAGGCCGGGGTCAAAGTTTACGAGTGAGACGGACGTCACTTCCTTCGACGGGGCTCCTCTAAGAGGCCCGCCCCTTCTTGCCTCTCCGGGAGATCTACCGGACGCGTGTGCGCGCGCTTGTTTCTCTACCGGCTTCTGAAACCCAGGCGTCTGAGCCTGGGGTCCGGGACGGGGGGTGTGGTGGGGAGCGGGAGTGATGGGCGAAGAATGTACTCCGTGGCCGTTTCTGGGACTGAGGCTAAGGACGCCACCACGGGGTGGAGGGAGCAGAAGGGAGGGGTCTCCGCACGTTTTTCTGGGGATTAGGGCCGGAACCACAGATCACGGCTGCCGGGGCGAGTAGGAAGAAGGACCGAAAGTTTCCTTTCCAGAACCCCTCTGAAAATGCCCAGCGACTGGGATTTTAGGGTTGGGTCAACCTTAACGCTGAGGTACCATCGCTTCTACAGTTGACTTATAGCGAATTAAAAAAATTTTTTAAAGACATTGTGTATTGCTTTTGTGACAAAGCCTGCCGTCTTAGAAAGGTTACCTCCCTCCTCTTCCCCCGCCTCTCCATTCACCTTCTCTTCCCTCTGGTCGCCCCACCTCTACGTCACCGGAATGGCGGCTGCCTGAGGGGCGGTCCGGCCTTTGGGCGTGCCCAGCACAACGGCTACCAGGGCGGGTCGTTAAAAGGGAGACTTCTTAGCCATCCTTGGCCTTGCCGCCCTCACCAGCGGGAAAGTCTGGAAGACTCGTGTTCCCGCGTGTAAAGCACACCGTCCCCGCCCTAAAGGCTGAGATGGGAACACACAATGGTCGCTGCGAAAAATAGGGCATCCAGACGGGTCGCACCTGAGGGAGGGAAGGGAGGCAGGAAAGGAAGGGGGAGGGGAGGCGGGCCAGGTGAACAATAGGAAGCGTGTGCGGTGTGTTTGTGTGTGTAGGAGGGGGAGACTGACGGTTGGGGTGGGTACGTGGGGGGCCGGCTCGTGGGGCGTCGCGCGGAAGTCGCCCGGGCTGGAAGGGGGGTGGGGGTGAGGAACGTGTGTGTTGGGGAAGGGGAGGAAGCTGAGCAGTCTGGCCTCTTGGGGGTCCGTTGGAAGCCACGGGCTTCCCACCCACCGACTGCTTCCCCCACCTCGACGCTCTGAGGCCTCTTCGCGCGGCCTCTTGGCCCCATTTCTCCTGCTCTTCTGAGAAGAAGGAGGTGCCACCTTGTGAGAAGGACCAGGCCCAGTCAAAAGTAGAGGCAGCTGGTGGGGGCAGGGAGGCGCCTCGGAGGTTTGAACCTCCGGGAGAAGTAGGAGGAGGAAGAGGAGGGGGGGTGGCGGTGGGAGGAGACGAGGAGCCCCGGGTCGGGCTGTGTAGACACGGAGCCAGCAGTGCACCAGTCAGGTCCTCACCTCGTAGCCGGGCGGTAGTAGCACCGATCACTTGAATCATCCAGGGAGAGGTGGGGGGTAAAGGGACCAGTAGAGAACCGCCCCCTCCCCCACCTCCTTTTTCTCCCCCTCCCCCCCCAGTGGTCTCCCGGAGGAGATTGGTTGGAACTCCCTGAGCTGTTCCCCCGCCGGGGCCTAGTTCTCACCTCCGGAGGAGGGACCGGGGCACCGGGCGGGGGGAGGAGAAGTAGGCGGAGAGACCGGGGCATTGGGGGAAGGAGGAGGAGGAGGAGGAGGAGGAGGAGGAAGAAGCGAGACCCGGGCCGCAGCCGGAGAAGGAAGAGGAGGAGGAGGAGGGAACGGGGCCCCGGTGGGGGGGCGGAGCGGCCGCCGGGGGTTTGTTTTCTCGGCAGTAGACATGGCAGACGAGACCCCCAAGAAGGGGAACTTTTCGGCTCTCGTTGGACACACCAATGGCCTCACGAAACCCGCTTCCCTGGCGGCGGCCGCCGTCGCCACGAAACCCGGGGGGGGCGGGAGCAGTGGCGGCTCCTCAAAGAAATTAGTGATTAAAAATTTCAGAGGTAGGTAAGTGTGTGTAAACGAGGTGAGGGCGCGGAGGGAGGCGGGCGGGGAGGCCGGCTCGGGCCGGGCCGGGCCGCGTCGCCTCTGGGAGGCTCCCCTTTCTCCCCACCCCCAGGGCCCCGGGGGAGGGCACGTGGGGGAGGGGGATTTGTTTCTTCAAGACTGACCCGGCCCATCTCCCCTCCCCCCGCGGCGCGCGCCGCCGAGGAGGCGGGGATCCGCGAGGGTGTCAGAGTGTTTTTTCTCGGTGATAAGAAAGAGAAGGGGAGAAGTCGGTTTCCTGCGTCCCCTCCCCCCCCCTCCCCGGGCGGCGGCGGCGGCGGCGGCCCGCTAGCTCGTCTCGGCGCTGCCGGAGGATTCCCCGAGCTGCATGACTTCAGCGGCAGCCAATGGGGAAGGGGCTCCGAGGAGGGCCGCCGCCTGCACGCGCTGCGGTGACCTTTGGTGACCTCGCTCAGTCGGCCAGGGCCCTCCCACTCCTGTGCGGCGGCCGAGAGATAATCCTCCTCTTCCTTTCTTATTGTCAGAAATAACCTCTGCTCCCGCCCCCTACGTCGCTGTCCTAGGGGTCTCGACTTACTCCTTCCACCTATCTTATGTTCATACTTAGAGAATAACAACCCAGAGAGGGGAGAGGTTAATAATGGGGTACTGTAAACGGACCTTTGGTATCCCACGCTTTGGTTTGTCATTGTGCATTAAATATCATTTTCCAATGTGTAGTAATAATATTCCTTGTATCCTTCAGTCGATTCTGTTGTCGAGAACATTCAGAAATGTCAGTAAATCTTCACAGGTGTTGACTGTGGGAGGGTTTAAGTCTCAACAGTGATTGTGATGGTGTACATTTATTTTCTAGTGTAGAGAGAAATACAAATTGTCATTTTAACCTCTTGATCTTAAAAGCTAGATGAATTAAATGAAACACCACTTAAAAGAGCAGACATCTTTAAGGTTCATAAGAATTCAAGTAGGGTCTTCAGGCTCTCTAAGCTTTTTTAGATCTCGGCAATAATACTCATCACTCCTTGAGAGACTATTTGACTTTTTTAAACTGGTTTGGCTAGTCTAAAAGCTTCTGTAATAAAATAAGTACTGTGGCAGTGTACTTTATTTGATAGTGTTTTTTATCAAATGCAGCTTAAGCAGTTTTCTCTCATTATTCTTGTAGAGTTGATAAGTGGGCCTAAACACCGTAGATTTTGATACATGTCTATAAAGGCCTGTTAATTATATAGGGCAAAGGTGTAGTGGATAGTTGACCTTGAAGTCAGTTCAAGTTCTGTGTCTGATACATACTAGCAATGTGACCATGGGCAAGTCATTCAACTTCTCAGTGCCCTAGAAACTCTTAAAAACTTTGAGAGTTGCACCTGGGAAGGAAATTAGCACATTAGGAGTTCCCTACCACAATGAAATTAACAAGCCCAGACCATTTCAACTCTCCCAAAAAAGTATCATCCAGTATTGTTAACAAGTACTGCAGCAGAAAAGTACTACTAGTTTTTGTGATGTTACTAGATATATAATGATTCATCTTTCTACCAGTTTATACAAACTAGCCATAGTGTTAGGGAATAAGCCTCTTTAATATGTAATACATACTAGTAATGGAGTCAAGATAATTTATTCATTCCTGAACACTTAAAATAAGTACTTAAATTTTAAATGGTCATTATTTGGAGCTCAGTATAGTTATATCTTTATTGAATAAGCTTTGTTAAATAAGGCAAACTATAAACTAGCATTTTGCTTGTACTTATCTTAACCCAAGAATTATGTTATTGCTAGATATATTTATAAAGTTGATTTCTATGTTAACCTAATATGCCTATTGTTTTGAATGCACAGTTTGGTAGGCTTTTTAAAATGATTGGCTATAAGCAAGCTGTTTTCTGTTTATTTTATATCTGGTTTTACAGACAGACCGAAGTTGCCAGATAATTACACTCAGGATACATGGCAGAAACTTCATGAAGCAGTTAGAGCCATACAAAGTAGCACCTCCATTAAATACAACCTTGAAGAACTCTACCAGGTAAGTGCTCAAATGTCAGTGGGGCAGAGTTTTGGTAGAATGTTGGTACTTGTTAAATTGAGAATATCAGATTTTCTTCTACTGGCAGAATGCTTAAGCTTGATCAGGAGAGTGTTCTATTTTTAATGCCAACTCTTGAAAGCTTCATTATTCTCATAGCTGAGTGAGTGAGCAAAACTCTTCAAATTCCCATTTTCCCTCCCAAAGTGTAACAATAAAAAGTAAATTTTATCATGACACAAAAAGATCTTATTCCTGTTTCAGAGATTTAATATAAATAAGCCCTTTTAGCAAACATAAGAGATTTTCCATTGCATTTGGTGCAAAAGTGGTAGGAGTCTCTTGTAGAAGTGTGAACATTGGCAGTGGATATTTTAATTTGGAGAAGAGATTATTCACTGTGCTATTTTAATTGTGAAAAACTCAAGAATTCATTGTCAACTGTCTTAAACAATTGGAAGAAAGGGGATTTTAAGGACACCTGTTTTACCTTTGCTGTGGTTTTTATTTTTCAAGCCTGTGATGCTCAGATCTAATGCAAAGCTCCCTTTTCTGCTTAGTATGACACCTAGTATGATCTTGCTGGTGATATGTCACAAATGGTATAGAACTCTTTTGGAACCTGCAGATTGCCTACATAGGAGTAAATTCTTTTTATAGTGCTGCATGATTGTGTTTTTATTTCACCTTTATTCAAGTATTAAAATCAAATACTTGAAAAAAAAAACTTTAGACATGCAACATTGTAAAAAAAAGAAAAAAAAGAAAAAAAAACCCCAACCCAATACAAGACATATGTGCAGATTGTCCTAGGTCAGTAGGGAAACTCTAACTTCCACCTAACTTTGGAAACAAAAATGAAGTCACCAACAAGTACCATTCAAGGAAGACTGAGGGCTGTATCAAAATATAGATCTTAACAATAACATCCTCCCAGAATAAATCATATCTGATAAGTAGGATGTCTCTTTTTACTAAGCATTCAACCTATAATTCTAAATTCTTTGAAGTAACTACCTTGGAACTATCCTATGAATATTCTACATCATTGCATGAATTTGGCATTGTGGTGTGGAGTAGCTCTAAACATTAAATTTCTTGAAACTCAACATTTCACGGAAGTCCAAGCAATAGGAGATGGAATTAGGACTAATAATATAAAGTACTACTCTTGCAGTCCCATAGATAAAAGGCCCTTAGTGGGCCTTCATGGGCAATAATTATAATTTTCACTTTGTCTTTGCATCTCCAGCACCTAGCAACATTCCTGACACATAGTATGTGTTTAATAAATGCTTATTAATTGATTGTAAGAAGTTACTCTTCATATTTCCAATGAATACTGATTCTGCAGACTCATTTGTTTAGAGAGAGCTGGGAATCTCTTTTGAGCATCTATGCACTCGGAGGAAATGCATGAGTGCATCTCTTGTAAGATTGTGGATTTAGTTATAATGCAATCCTTTAATATGGACTTTGAGGATTGTAAAATGTCAGGGCTTCTAGAGTATTAAATGAGTGCAGTGGGGTCTCAAGTTGGCACAAAGTATTTTTTTAACCCATGTTTTTCTGTCATTTAATAATCCTTACTAGTAAATTTAGATTGTAGGAATTATTTACACCACCTAAAATTTAGCTCAAGTTCTGTTGAAAATAAAATTATTTCAAATATACTTAAATATTTCAGGAATCCCTGATTTCACCTGTGGGTCCCGGTATCAGTCCAACACTAATTCAGTTCTCTTTAGTGTAGATAAGCTTCCAGAGTTGCTGTGGCCAAAAAAAACAAAAACAAAAAAACTTCATCCCTCAACTGTGTTTGATGATTAGTCTCTCCAAACATAACCAGACAGGCCCTCAGGTGACAAACTCCAAACCTTTTCATTTTGGTAGACAGTAGAGACTATATTCTTCTTGAATTATGAAAACCCAGGTTCGCCTGACCTACAATGACGCTTTGAGGTGAGACTTTACTGGAGGATTTTTTTAAGCACACAAAGATAAGATACAGTATTAATTGTATATCAAAGGTGTGTGGTACTCTCCACTAAGAGTAATTTTTTGCTTTGAAAACTCATTAACAAACAGCTTTTCAGCACTTGGTCAGCTTTTTGTCTTCATTACCTTCAACCAAGCTTTAAAGCTATACTATTTTTATTCCTATTTGTCAAGCTGCTTAATTTATGGTATAATTTCCCCCATCTGACAATTTCCAATATGATCTTTTCTTAGGTATTTGGAGGGTTTGGGGGAGAGCTCTAGCAAGTCACTGCTTTCCCTCCACCATCTTGGCTCCGCCCCCTCCCCCCCATCTTTTCAAAAGGGGACATTTTCTGACCAATCTTGTCATCTAGTTTGCATGATAGCTAAAATATATGTGATGTATATAACCAATATAATGAGGTTCATCATATTAAATATTTGAATGTACAGAAGGTCAAGTTATCCCCTGGGGAAAAGGGAAACTTGCCTGAAAACTCTGTGGGTCCTGTTTCTCAGGAATTCCCTCACTTAACATAAGTAGTTTGTAATTACATTTTCTCACTGTTTCACGTAAAATCATTCATACAACTTCTCATATCTATGGAAGCTCCTTTCAAGTTTAAATACTTATTTTTGCATATTGCCAGCATACCAATAAGAATACAATTGCTTTTAATTGAGATGTTTGATTGTTAATATTTAATGCCTAATTAAGATTGCCTAATCTCAAAATTGTTGACAAAGAAATATTGAATCTTGTTTCAAATATGTAGTAGCATCACTTGCCATAATTTGAAAGGTAGTGAGCTAGGATCTGATACTCATTTATCTAACACTGAAGAAGAATCCCAGATACTAAAAGTCCCCTTGAGTAAGTCTCCAGTGAGTTTTAGCCAGGTGTTCTGATTATTTTAAACAGAAGTTACAGTATTTTGATTCATAAAGGATATTTCCTAACAAGTCCATTTTCTTGACCTTAACATTAACTTATCAACAAAAATTGCATATGAAATAATTTTAAAGTGACTTGATCCTCTTAACTCCATTATGGTTCAGAATCAAAATTGATTCAGGTCTGAATTTTATTAAGGTGATTGGGTTCTGGGGTCACTGTTCCCATGAATTACAGATTATAGAGCTGTCAAGAACTTTTTAGTGAAGTCCTACATTAATTCTATGGATTATCAAGTGGTGAGGCTTATCTGATCTCTCTTCTTTCTCTGTAAAGATTAATAGTAATAGTAAGTTAACCATCATTTTATGTGTTGTTATTTGCTGTGCAATATCTGCACTGACCCAGTAGCATGCCCTGTGTTGGGATGGTGAGAAATTTATTCACATGCCTGTTATAAAGAAAGTTATGTCCATAACTTTATTTTTGTCCTCTTGAATAATATGGTGTTCACATCTATCACATAAATCACAGTGTCTTCTCTGTGAAGACTGGTAAAGCATTTTCAAAATCATTGGTCCAGTGGGGCAGCTAGGTGGCGCAGTGGATAGAGCACCAGCCCTGGAGTCAGGAGGACCTGAGTTCAAATGCGGCCTCAGATGAATAATACTTCCTAGCTGTATGACTGTGGGCAAGTCACTTAACCCCAATTGCCTCACTAAAAAAAAAAACAACAAAAAAACCAGAATCATTGATCCACAAAGGCACGCACGTAGGGGGGTGTGTGTGTGTGTGTGTGTGTGTGTGTGTGTGTGTGTGAGAAAGCAAAAGCGAGAGAGCAGGTCTTTTGTGTAGCAGCAGGGGCAATATTCCTTTCTGTTTTACTAAATCTTGTTGACAAAATTATTAGCTATATCTTGTGTTATTCATTAGCAGTGGCTGTTTAATACTGGTTTTTATTAAAGTATCACCAACCCAAGACAAAAACCAAGTCAGTTAAGATATTTAATTCAGTGTTTCAGAATAAAATTCAGTACTGAGACTGCACACTCTGTCATTCGTTTAAATAAGTGCATTGAGGGGATTTTCTGAATAGTATGTTGATTAAGATCAGTTTTCCCCAAGGAAGGAGGTTTGAAAGGCTCTCAAAAAAATTTTAGCGATGGTTTAAGGGAGACCTGACTATTTTCTTGGTGTTTCCAAAATTGAAACTGCTATTCTCTTATTTTCAGTCTTCCTAAGTTTCTTAAGCCTCTTGCTTAATTAAAGTGTTTATGGCCATCTGGAAAAAAGAATATTTCTAAATAATCAGTCCCCAGATCTAATGGGTTTTGCTTGTTTTTGTTTCATAAATGGGAACTTGAACAAAAGGTAATGAAAATTGGTTTACATAGTTAGAAACTTGCTTGTCTCCTCCGACGTTAAGATCTATTTTGGAGAAATCAATCTTAGACTACAAATTCAATTTTAGTAAGACCAGGACAAAAACTTCACCACATTTTAGAACAGGAAAAGCTAATAATAAAATAACTCATATTGATATATTGCTTTAAGCTTCCAGAGTACTTAACTCAAAACAACCCTGTGAGGTAGATAGTGGAAGTATTTTTATCCCTACTTTTCACATGAATAAATGGATGCTTTGAGAGAGTGAATCACTTGCCCTTGATTAGACAGTTAGTGCATGGGGCAGAATTTAAATCCAGCTCTTCTGACTTCCAAGCCCAACACTTGAGCCACTATGACAAGCTACCTCTAAGTTAAGCCTATGGAGTTAACTTTGGACTTTTATATTTTCATGCACAATAGAGATATATCTAAATACAATAAAAGTCTATGCTGATTTTCTTTTAACTGTTGGGGTTGTTGAACAAGATCATTAATGACTATTATGTGGTAATGACTATAAAGATGTGAGAAAAGGGAGAGTGAAGAGTTATGGATGATGTAGAACTGAAATTCAGGAGAGAGACAGGCTATTTTTTTTTTAAACTCTGGGCATTATTATACAGACCATAATTAAACCCATGTTAGAAGCTTATGAGGTCATTAAGAGAGTGTAGAAATGAAAGAATGTCTGGAACAGTGCCTTAGGATATACCCACTGTTAGGGTACATGATATGG